CAGTTTGATGGAAGTGTCTTGGATTATGTATGAAAACACCACACTGTACCCCCAAAGGGCATCAATGTACACAGTTACCATTCAATAAAAAAAAAAAAAGAAAAAAAGAAATGGGAAGAGCCTGAACTCTAAAAACAGTTCTTCTCTAGAGCATGTTTTTGTTGTATTGTGCCATGAAGGCAGCTATGGAGTAGTTTACCCTGCATGCACTTCTCAAGATGGCCCAGATAACCTGACTTTTCATTGTGTGTATCTTTCATACACACATTAAACATTTTTTCTAAATGAACTGGTTGTTAGAATAAATATATTTTTGAGAGTCTAAAGGTAACTTCAGTGAAATATGGGTTTTTTTTGTTTTGTTTTTGGAAATATGATGTTTACAAAGAGAACATGCCCCAGCACAATGGGCTATCTTGATTTACGTAGGCACCGTGTTTCCCTGAAAATAAGACCTACCCCCAAAATAAGCCCTAGCAGCATTTCTCCGCATTTGTTAAATATAAGTCCTACCCCGATAATAAGAATGATGAGCATGGCTATGCAGCATTTCTGCATACCCATGCCATGCACTTCAGTGAGGAGAGGTGAAGAAGACTGGAATACCTTTTATCTGCCACAGCTCCTTTCTCTGAGCTGTTCGCACTTGCGCGGGTGCACGTGTGCTAACCATGGTCACAGGCATTGGAATGGCTAGGGGAAAGGAGTTTACACATCACTAGCACCAGCCCCACCAACAAGGTCAGCTCCCCCTGTCAGCTTCCAGAAGATGACTTAACAGTATTTGAATAAATGTATATTGTTGTTCTTATATTATTTTATTCTTAATAAAAATAAGACACCCCCTGAAAATAAGCCCTAGTGTGTCTTCTTGAGAAAAAATAAATATAAGACAGTGTCTTATTTTCAGGGAAACACGGTATTAGTCCTTCTTCTCTATTCTTTTTTTTATAGGCATGTAGACCCCTCTCCTGGGGAATTAGTAATAATAATAAATAAATCAATAATGATAGCTGGCTTTATCAGTGCATGTAGGGTTTAGGGAATGTGTTTTATTGTTGTCACCTCGTTTGATCCTCACCACCATAGTAAGAGGTAGGTCCTCATTATCTCCATTTTACAGAGGAGGAATCCAAGGCACAGAAAAACCTAGTTCCTGGACCCAAGTTCTAGAGTCAGGATTTGATTCTAGAGGTTGGATTTGAATCAAGTCTGATACCACAACTTGGAATATTAATTGCATTTATGGGATAATTCATTTGTCAAAAATAAAAATAACAAAAAAATCTCAACTAATTATTGAGCTATTTATAGTTTAAATAAATCAGTGTTGACATGAGTTATAGCAAGCCTTGAGGAGAGACTCCCTGAAGAGTCAAGACAATGCATTAAAAACTGTCTACAAACGAACAGAAACTCTCCTTTTGACATAAAAATAAAATTCAACAGTAACTTTTATCCTCGTTTCACATTTCAGGAGTTAGACTAGAAGTAACCCAAAACAGGTTAACAAAACAAAACCAGCAAGCTGAGACGTTAAGAAACCTCTCCTTGGGATGATAAATCATTCTTTTGCAGAGAAAGGGCCTTCGGAGATGGGGGCGGGGCTGGTGGGGGATCTGGTTGCTTTAACTGCTTATTCACAACCCCCATACTTTACTGGATTTAGTTCTGCCTGTGAACGTACCTCCAGGACATTTGGCTGGAAAGGCTGGAGCAGACTCTCTAGGCTATAATAGTCTGGGACATTCTTGCCTCCTTACTTGGGTTAAAGAGGGCCTAATATAAAAACCTGGACCTTCCCGCTGGCAGATGTTCAAAGATGCCCAGCTATGCTTCTTCTTCATGGACACTCTCTTTCTCTCCCCAAACTGTGAAGTGCAAAAGAAAGCTTGCTAGGGCCTGCATGAAGTGCAGCGCCCGCGGGGCCGACGCGTGTCTCCCCTTCCCGCCCCCGGGGACCGATCCCAGCCTCTCTCCCAGTGATGTCAGTGGACTCCTGAGCCGGATCCCGCTCCCCGGCTGGTGGAGGGCAGAGCAAGGGGGTCACCCGCGGAAGCGGCAGCAGTCCCGGGGCCGCGGCGCTCCAGGCCTCCCCACCCCGCCCCCGGGCGCGCGGTGTCCCCGGCGGCCTCGAGCGCGCCCCCGCCCGCCGGCCCGCGCCACGCTCCGCCCTGGACGCCGCTCGTCCCGGCGCCGGGGTGCGGCGCGGGTGGGAGCCGGCCCGCTCAGCCTGATTTACGGCTCTGCTGAAAACCGCTTCGCTCCCGCGGCGTCAGCACCGGCGGCGGCGGCTGCAGCGGCAGCAACAAGTCGGGTGAGTGGCGGCCGCTGGGCGTCTGCGCCCGCGGTCCGGCCTGGGGGCACGGCGGAGGGGACCGTCCGGGGATGTCTGGGCTGGGGAGAGCGCCCCCGACCCCGCAGCGCGGCCGGCGGTCAACAGAGCCGGCCTCTCGGCCCCCACCTGCAGGAACTCGGGTGCGCACGAATCAGCTGTGGCATCCCCAGGCTCGCACGCCGCAGGGGCGGAGAGAGCTGGGACCCCGGGCAGGGTCATTGCCAGCCTGCCCTACACCTGCAGAGTACATTGGGGCTTTTCCACCAACCCAGTGGACTGGGGTTTCTTCTGGGCCCATGGAAGCCTGCTTGTTCCGGAGTGCGTGATTACCCATTTCTCCATGCCAGAGGGACATACCTTTCTCATTGCCCCCCAGCATTCTGACTTCCCTTGTCGTCTCCTCTTGCCAGCGTCTTTGGCTCTCTGCTGGGCTGATGTTTGCATCTCATCCCCAGAAAACCAGCGGTTTAAACATCCCGGTGTAGCACAGGAAGAGGTTCCCTTCTTTGGGGGTCCGAGGTTTAACCTCGAATCTTTGATGGCTTGGCTTTCTGGGACACCGCCACAGTTTAAGAGGTTGAGGACTCAATCACACTTTTCACCCAGTGGCCCCAGCTGAGCTCCTTCATTTGGGGGTCCAGTGTTCTTTATATTTAAGTAGAAACCATTCCTTAGAGGAAATAGATATGCACTGCTTGCAGAATTGGGTTGCTAGCAGTCATCTGTTGCTAGGGCAAAGATAATAAATTCCTACAAGGTAAGAAGAACTTCCTGTTATTAAAAGAGCTAGGCTGAACACCTACCTGGTTCAAACATCAACCATCTCTAAAGGATGTCATGTAAAAATACAACATCAGGGACAAGACAGATTCATACAGAACACTCTATTATGATAAAATCTTGGCCATGGCCCTACTTACATCAAATGATACTTGGCACATTAGCTCACCAAATTTCAGTAGAGCTTGAGTATGAGGACAGTTATTGTTATAATAACACTTTGACTCATGTCATAACAATAATTAAAGGAAAAAAATCAAAGACAGAAAGCGCAGATGGAAAATTTTTCAGCTGATTGTGTACTTATATGCCATAGTGTCTAGCTTGAGTAATCTTTATTATGCTTGAGGTAAGATCGCTGAGCTGGCTCTCTTAGGTCCCATTTTGACAATTCATGTGAGTTTTCCTCTTTTTTTTCCCCCTGTATTCATGCATATCAGGAAAATAGGGCATGTTTTTGCATTCAGTGTACTAAATCCAGGAGGGCAGGAATGCGAATTCCACTTCTGGATTTGATGCTTTATACTTTACTCTAGACTTTGGATTAATTGTTTTACTTCTTTGCTCCAGTGCTCTTTTCTGAGAAGAAGCAAGGTCACCCACCTTTACTTTTCTAGGGGCTGGTGAACTTTCTCTGTAAACATAATACATAGGAAGTATATTTGACTTTTTGGACAGTAGAGTCTCTGTCTCAACCACTCACCTCTGCTATTATACAGAAATGGATGTAGCTGGATTTGGCCCATGCAATGTAGGTTTTAATTGTAACGTAAAATATATGCCAAAGTCATTGGAAACCAAAAAGCTTCTGCTGTCATGGAGATGAGCAAGTCATTTCAGATGGAATATTTTCCTGTAGGCACTTAAACGTCTTTTTTTTTTTTTTTTACCCCCCTCCCAGGACTTTTAGAGTAATGCAACAGAAGGCTTTTGAGGAAAGCAGATATCCCTGGCAGGAGTCCTTTGAGAATGTTGCTGTGTGCCTGCCATTCCGCTGCCCGAGGTGTGGAGACCATACTAGATTTAGAAGCTTGTCGTCCTTGAGGGCCCATCTGGAATTCAGTCATAGCTACGAAGAAAGAACCCTCTTGACAAAATGCAGCCTCTTCCCTTCCTTCAAAGACACAGACCTAGTCACTCCCTCAGAACTGCTGAAGCAGGGAAAATTGCAGGGCAGTGGCCACGTGGTGAAGCAGAAACCGAGCTATGTTAACTTATACAGTGTTTCGCATGAACACTCCAAGGACAGGAAGCCATGTGAGGTGGTGGCAGAGAGGCCCGTGTCCTACGTGCAGACGTACACTGCCATGGACCTGCGCGCAGACTCGTTGGATGGACCACGGTCGAGCCCCGGACTTCCCACCTCGGACACCAAAGCTGCTTTTGAGGCACATGTTAGAGAAAAATTCAATCGGATGGTGGAGGCGGTGGATAGGACCATCGAGAAGAGAATCGATAAACTCACCAAAGAGTTGGCCCAGAAGACTGCTGAACTGTTGGAAGTTCAGGCAGCTTTTGTGCAGCTGACTCAGAAAAAGCAGGAAGTTCAGAGGCGAGAGCGGGCCCTGAACAGACAGGTGGACGTGGCCGTGGAAATGATAGCCGTGCTGAGGCAGCGCCTGACGGAATCCGAGGAGGAGCTTCTGAGGAAGGAAGAGTAAGTGATGCTGAAACAGGATGCTAACCCATTGCCTTAGGCACGCCCCCACCCTCGGGTTTTTATTATTTGCAGGTGCCTTGCCTGCATTTCTCATTGGTATAGTTGAACCAGAGGCGCAAGGCTTTGGTATTCTTTACTCTGTGTGTGTATGGTCTGCAGCCCAGCAAGATTAAAGCCAAAATATCTAATTCCTTTTTGCCTGGAAACTGCAAACCACACATAATGTTTGTAGAGAGAGGCTTGTTTTTCAAGCCTACCCATGGCGGCATCCATTCCCAGCACCAAATGGTGTGCAAGAGTGAGTTGAATGGGAAGGCAAAAAGGGTGTGCTGGGTGAGCCATTCCTTCTTGTCGGGAACGTGAGCTCTGTTTTCTTCAAATCTAAAAGTATGCCTCAAGTATAAATAATTTTCATTTATTTGCCATATTGGGTTATCTGTTCAAGTTAATTAAATGTCTGTAACTGAGAATCCATTTAATTATAATTTATAATTATAAATAGATATTAGGAAGCCCAGAGGAAACCTTTTGCTGTTGCTGTACTTCTGTGACTTAAGTTTGAGACTTTATTTTTTGTATAATGATGTATGAGATTAGAATAAGTCTTGCCCACTTGTAAAGGGTCAAGAATGGTTTTCAAAAATTATAGATCATAGACGCTGTTACTTAAAAATCATCATACTTGGAGGAGCATTTTTTTTTAATCAGTAGACATGGATTTAACTCAAACTAGAAAAGTATATATATAACAATTCAGGGTATTTCCCTATTCAGAATGTTGAATTTCAGTTTAAATGGAGGCTCAGAATTCTTGGAATCAAAGGACATGAAAATTGATAGAGTAAAACAACCTGGAAGGTTGGTTTCCAAATAATTGGAGTCTTATTACCAAGATTGATTTAATTTCATCTCTTCTTTGCCCTCTGGCACTCTACTATCTGTGCTGTCTCTTCAAATGTAATAATTAAAACTTTCTGAGAAACCCTATGTATTAGAGAGATCATGACTTGCTATCACTGAATGCTTACATTCTATCTGGAGGAAAAGCCTAGACATTTTTTGTTCAGACTAGACATTATTTCAGTTACCTGGCTCAGATGGATTTGAATCAGCTGCTGATTTACTTTGCTCCTAGGGAAATAATGTCAGTGAAAAATGTTTCTCTTTTGGCCTCTGGTGTTTTGTAGTGGGACATTAGCATCTTGACCAGTTAACAGCCCTCAGGGTGCCCCATACTGCCCTGATGGAAAAATGGCATATGGGGTTGCTTTATGTGTAGAGAACACTCTAGAATTAAATGTGTAATATTTCTGTTTGATTCAACAGCAGTATGTTTAAAAGGCAACCAAAGTAATTTTTTGCATGTATTTATTTGTTGTATTTTATTTATTTATTACATAAGTAATAATGAACATGGGATTTGAGTGGTGGTTGCCTGGAGTATGAGAAGGCAAAGCCATGGGAGGGAAGATCACATGGTTTGATGTAGGTTATTATAACTTTTGTTTTGGGTGGTGAGTTCAAGGATGCTTTATTGTTAAAAATAACGGATTGGCTTGGCACCCATAGCACAGTGATTATGGCGCTGGCCACATACACCAAAGTTGGCAGGTTTGAACCCAGCCTGGGCCAGCTAAAACAACAGTGACAACTGCAACAACAACAAAATAGCTGAGCCTTGTGGTGGGTGCCTGTAGTCCCAGCTACTGTGAGACTGAGGCAAGAGAATCATTTAAGCCCAAGAGATTGAGATTGCTGTGAGCTGTGATGCCACAGCACTTTACTGAGGGCGACATAGTGGGACTCTGTCTCAAAAATAAATAAATAACTGATCACTCAATAAAAGTGGGCCATGCATAGATCAGGTATGGTAATATGTTATGGTTAATCCAAGGCCATTGACTGATCACCACTGAAAAACTAATATATACTTGTAGAAAAAGGACTTTAATAGGATAGACTCGTATATGTTAAAAATACCCCCTCAAATCCAAGAACACCCCATTCCATCCTCCAGAGATGGACACTGTTAGGTTCAGTAAATGTCCTTTCAAACCTTTCCTGTGTACATATGCTAATTATATAATTTATACACACAGAAGTTCTGTTTTTCCAAATGAACTTAAAACACTATTCTGCTGCTTGTATGTGGAATTGTTTCTGCTTTAATGTAACATATCTTAGGCTTTTTTTGAGAACTAAGTACAGGGTTATGCCATTCCTTTAGACTGTTGCATGGTATTCCTTCTATGGCTGTGTCATGATCTGTTTAACCAGTTTGCTGTTGATGAATGGATAGTTTCATTATGTTTTCCTAGTGTTAAAAATAGTGCTTTAGTGAATACCATCTTAATTCACATTTTTTTTGAGTCTGAGGGTAAGTTACGAGTTGATTTTAAGTGTGTGACTTTTGGACTCGCAGAGAAAAGCAGTCATATTAAAAAGAAAGTTTTGAAAAAAATTGTTAAATTGACTTAAACTTTTGATTATAAAATAAACAAAATCTTAATTTTTTTAAGCCTTCATTTGGGCCTGTCCCATTGAGTTCTGTGTTCAAATAGTCATTCTTCTGTACACAAAATGGGACTGAAAGAGTTTTGTTTCCAGGAGGACACTAGAGCTCTTGGTCTGAGAGACTGTGGACAGTGGCATCAGTGTCTACCGTGTCTGTCCTCCCTGTGCTCCATCCCCCAGCCCCCGCCATCTGAATGGGGATGCAGAGCCAGCCGTTGGGTAATACCAGGTTGAATTGACCAGATTTGCCTGGCGGAGCATGCCCCTTCCCTCCTCATCTCTCCCTCAGAGAGCTGTGCCTTCCACCAAAGAGGTGACCTTTCAGGTAAGGTCTAGAACCTCCCAGGAGTTGTGCTCCCCTGCCAGGCACCTCCCCATGAGTTCTCCAGGCCCACCTGTGAGAGAAAGTACCTTGTTACCATCCCATTCACAATCTCTCGGGACCCTTTGAAACACAGATGGTAGATGTGGTTTAAAAAAAAAGGAAACATCTAGTATTTAACACACACATGAGGCTCTCTTGCTTGTGTATTTTTCCTTCAACTTTAAAAATCCTTTCTTTCAAACTGAAATTAAAGATCCAGGGCTGCTGCTTCCCTGAGGCCCTCTGTAGGCTGAATGAATCCACTTGGGTTTTAGCGGTCATATATATACTCTGCAACTGAGAAGGTTGTTTGCATTGGCAGTGCAGTTGACCTTTAAACAACAGGTTCACTTATACATCGATTTTCTTCTGCCTCTGCTACCCTGGAGAGAGCAAGACCTACCCCCTCTCTTCCTCAGCCTACTCAATGTGAAGATGATGAGGATAAAGACCTTTGTGGTGACCCACTTCCGCTTAATGAATAGTAAATGTATTTTCTCTTCCCTCTGACTTTCTTTAATAACATTTTAAAATCTCTAGCTCACTTTATTATACAATGTATAATGCCTATAACAGAAAATTGTGTTAATTATCTCTTTATGATATCAGTAAGGCCTCTGGTTAACAGTAGGGTGATAGAAGTGAAATCTGGGGGGAGTCAAAAGTTATATGGATTTTTGACTGTGTGGGAGGTCACTTCCCCTAACTAACCCTCAAGTTGTTCAAGCATCAACTTGTATTTTTTTACTTTTCTGCTGGTGCATCTTGTACCCCTGAGGAGAAATACCTATAGTTTTTGAAGTTCAAACCCAGTAAAGAAGTTGCTCGTTGTCTTCACAAAGTCTGTGTAACTTTAAAAGTCCAATCGAAACAGGTGTTTACTTATTGAAGAGTCCTCAGAGTTGTTGGATAGCGTGGCCCATAATCAGGTAAATCAATCCTGGCAACTGTGAAGTTAAAGTATCCCTTCTCAAGAAAGGATGGATTTAGTAGCTAGATGCTAGCCAAGTTGGTCTCCTGGGCTTCGAAGAATTTGTGGTAACTGTGGATCCCAAATTTACTTATACACTTTCCTGGTGAAGTTGGAAAGTCCTGACTGAGCACCTGTAACGTGCCCAGGGCTGTGCTCTGTGCACAGGGGAAAGATAAAATGCATGGAATTTTTCCCTAAGGTGCTGTGCTCTATATAGGAAGAATAAAGCACGCCCACAAACGAGCTCATGTTCAAACCCAGGGTGGTTTTGATAGATGCTTAAATAGAAGCCACAGTTTCAAGTTGATAAAACATTAGAGACTAAATTTTTATTCTGTGTGGAGAGGCCACACTGAGGGAAAGCGGAGGAAGAACAGAATTTGCAGTGGTGCTTAGAGGAGAGTGAGAGAGTGATCATGAAGGGGCAATAGAGAGGACTGCTAGAGGCGGCCCCCAGGGCACTGGCAACTTTGGATTTGAAAACTGGAAGGTACTCCCATGTTGTGCATTTTACTGACACAGAAAATAAGGCCCAGAGCAGCGGAATGACTTGCCCAAGGACAAAGACTCAGCAGCAAAGCTGAAACGGGAATCTGATTTCCTGTTTCTCTGCTGAGTACTTTTTCCATTAGTTCACTGTGTCCTAGCCAGCCTTCTGAAAATGTAATTTTTGCCCAAAAGCGTCAAGACTTATGTAACACCAAATGTGGCCCATTTTGGAATGGGCTTGCTTTTTTGCTATTTTGAGAGGATTGCCACGGTGACATCATTTATTTTCCCAATGTGATTAAAGAAAATGTCAGCTGGCATTGGAGGTGTTGGGAAGCAGGGAAATGGTGGCATTATAAGCGTGGTCATGATATTAAGTTTCTGGAACACCCCGCCCGAAGCTTTTTGTTTCCAACAAGGGCTTTTAACTTAACTCTGGGATGTCTTTGCTCAGTCAGAGTGGGACCTGTGCTCCTGCCAGCCTTTGATTGCAGGTGGGGGCCTCTGTGTGATCCAGTCTCTAATTTCCATCCTTCTCTCTTGCAAGTGACAGCAGATACTACGTTTCCTTTCCTTTTCCATCATTTTTCCTATTCCCATCCTGGAATTTTGTGGGAGCAGATCTTCACCAAGTGCCAGGTACTGTTCTAGGCTCTG